TTCTGTATTGCAAATTTCTTGGACCTCACTAAAGCATTTGATTGTGTTAATCACTCCATTTTAATTAACAAACTAGCTAAATATAACTTTTCTGGTAATAGCCTTTCACTATTGAAATCATATCTGAGTGCTCGAACTCAATATGTATATTTCAATCAATCACAATCAAATTATCAAAGTATCACTGCTGGTGTACCACAGGGGTCGGTACTTGGTCCGATTTTATTTTTAATATATATAAATGATTTAGCTTTTTTAACTCATCCCAATGATATAATTCTTTATGCTGATGACACCACTTTATTGAGAAGATGTCAGGATCTGAATCATGAAACACGCATCTTGGGGGATGTCGAAGAATGGATAGTAAATAATAGATTAAAAATTAACCAAAGCAAATGTGAAAAATGTATTTTTACATTAAGACGCACGGAGGGAGTAAAATAATCCCACACAAGTTAAATTTTTAGGAGTGTTTATTGATCCCAAATTGAATTGGCTTGCCCATTGTAACCACTTATCAATCAAGCTATCAAAAGCATGTTATTTGCTACGTTGTTTGAAATCTACAGTATCGACTGATGTAGTAATCAGTGCATATTATGGATGCTTTCATTCTATTATGAGTTATGCGATTATAACGTGGGGGCATTCGGCAGGAATGAAAAGAATATTTTCAATTCAAAGACGTGCCATCCGAATAATATCTAACCTTAATTATAGAGCTTGCTGTAGGTACAAATTCATTGATCTCGGTATCTTAACTTTGCCATGTATTTATATTTTAAATTGCATTTTACATGTTATTGACAATATTTCGTCTTATCAGTCTAGTGATTTTACTCATCGATATGTAACGAGAAGTATCGGTAATTTACGCACAAATCAAGTTCGTCTAACTACTTCACTAAATTGCATTAATTACTATGGGAGTAAATTTTACAACAAAATACCTTTGAAATATCGATCATTACCAATAACTCAGCTAAAAAATGTTATTAGCAATTATCTAAAAGCAAATGCCTTCTATTCAGTGAACGAGTTTCTTCAATCCCAGTCCATTGATCTGTGATATTCAGGTTTAATATATTTTAATTTGTTTTGTTTGTCTTTCTATGTAATTGTAGTTTGTTGTTTTCACTTTGACGAATCTTATATAGTTCTACTATTTATTGATAATAAAGTATTGATTGATTGATAGTAAACGGTTTGGCGGTACACCAAACGCATTTCCACAATACCTAACAGTCTCTTTTTCGAAAAAATTAGGCCCGGTTTTCGGTTAAACAAAATGGTCACAAACCTTTAGGTATTTATTTGTTAAAATTTCGGAAAAATCCATGGCCAAGAAAGTTGGTTCTGCGCAATGCGCATACAATCCATTTTTGACGTGTCTTCATCTTGTCTTTTGTAAGCAGCATCCTCAGCTAAAGTCCTCAGAAAAAGTGGTTCACACTTCAGAATGTTTTGTTTGCGCATGCGCAGTCTATTTTGACACCAATTTTAATTTGCTTAGGAAGCATCTTCCACAGAAATTTCATTAAAATAAATTCGTAAACAAGAAATGTAACTCTGCACATACGTAATAATTTTCTTCCATTCTGAGGATGCACAATTGTTAAAAAATAAAATAAGAACTACTGAACTTTCAATTTTAACCTGAGACCTGTGACCTCAGATAGGCCTAAATCCAATTTATAATCGAGTGGGAAATTCTCACATCCATCTCTGATTAAAGAGGCATATGAGGCATCATCTTTGATTGAATTAAACAAAAAGTATTTTGTTTGCCGAAGAGAAGCATGTATCTTCTGAGAGATAGTAACCCAAATAGTTGACACTGACTTCACACATTTTTCAATAAAATGAATGCAACTGGGTGGGTCAATCAACGCATTGTATTTCTCTTGGCGTCCACCGTTGGAACGCAACCTTGTTCCGATGAGTTTTTGTGAAATATTCGGAACCTACTCGTAGAATTAAACTTTTGACATTATATAACTAATTATTTCTTGTATTCTATCTCGGTGTGTGGAATTTCCGTTGTGTGTCATCAGACCAGTTCGGGTTTTCCAAAGTTATCCTTACACGACCTTTAAGTACGATAATAAAAACATGGAAAACACACTTGTAATCGAGGCCGGCTAAACTTTGGAGTAGTTATGCACAACACGAAGCAGGGGCCCTAGCGCACAGACAAGCGGAGTGATGGAAATTCGAGGAGCGCGACGAGCGTTGTAAATAGGATTTTGTGTTATATAACCGTCACTTTGCATATGAAGTTCAAGGTTACCCTTATAACTTAAATGTAGCGGTGCGCTGTCGCGGTGCTACGTAGCGAGGCGGTGCGTTAGAACGCTACGTTAAGATGCTGCGTTAAAACGCTGCGTTAGGACCGTGCGCTAGAACGTTGCGCGTGGACGCTGCATTGGAACGCTACGGTAGTAAGCTGCGTTTGGAAGCAGCGATAGAACACTACGATAGGACGTTCCGTTAGAAAACTGTGTTAGTGTGCGTTTACAATGAACGTATACGTAAGTAATACATAAAACGTAAAAATTTCGCAAAGTTGAACTGTATAAAAACATACGAAGGTGTTTACAATGAACGTAATTTTTACGTACGTATATGTAAGCGATATGTAAGTCTTGCGCATAGTCGCAAAGGTTGAAAATGTTTCAAAGTTACGTACGGTCAAATATCATACTACTTGTAGTATGATCTTCGGTTTATTGTAAACAGCGAAGTAAATTTACGGAAACGATATGGATATGTACGAGTTACGGTTTATGAAATATTTACGTATACGTTCATTGTAAACCCAAACTCAAAACGCAAACGCAAAACGTAAACGCAAAACACAAACCCAAAGCGCGTTGAGATTGCGTCTTCGTTTTAAGATTGCGTTTCGATTTGCGTTTGCGTTTTGAGTTTGGATTTTGCGTCCTAACGCAGCATTGTAATGCAGCTCCCTAACGCATCTTTCTAAGTGTGCGTTTACAATGAACGTATACGTAAATATTTCATAAACCGTAACTCGTACATATCCATATCGTTTCCGTAAATTTACTTCGCTGTTTACAATAAACCGTTTGCTTTGGTTTTTTGCATTTAGCGGTCCCATAGCGTTTGCGTTTTACATTTGCGCTTTACGTTTGCGATTTCGTTTACGTTTTGTGTTTCTCTTTTAAGTTTGCGCTTTGGGTTTTTGTTTTACATATGCGTTTTGAGTTTGCAATTGTATTTTTCTTGTGTATGCGTTTTGCATTTGTTTTGCGTTTTGATAACATAATATATTTCAACCCCCATTTCGAGGAACGATGGATCCAACTCAAAAAAAAAAAAACTCAAAATTGCGTTTTGTGTTTGCATTTTGCGTTTGCGTTTTGCGTTTGCCTTTTCGGTTGAATTTGCGAATGTGTTTGAGTTTTGGGTTTCTGTTTTACTTTTGCGTTTTGCGTTTGTGATTGAGATTTGCGTTTCGTTTCTGCGTTTGCGCTTGTGTTTGCGATTACGTTTTGCGTTCGCGTTTGTCCATATTTTCTTGCCGTTTGATATCGATTTAGATTTCACTTGACTAGGCTGCGATTTTTTGTTACTTAACCTGGCTTTAAATCATCTTCAATTGTTACTTTTTATTCAGTATTCCTTACGCCATCTAGACAACTTAGTAATTCACTAGTTAGATGTATGTTAGTTTTGTAGTAAAGTTCTTTTACTATAGTAGTCCGCGAAACGAAAACGCAATCGCAAAACTCAATCGCAAATGCAAAACGCGAGCGCAAAACGCAAACCGCAAACGCAAAACTGTAAACGCAAACGCGAACATCTGTAACAATTTTGTTTACTGACATTCCATTACTTTGTTTCACAACTTCTGTAACAATTTTAAGGGTTCTGTAGTGGCCGCAGGCGTCAGAATACAGTTTCGTATTTTTACTTTCGCTTAGGTATTGTACCGCAGCACGCTTTCAATTTGACGCGTTAAGTGAAAGTTGAAAAAATCATGCAGTATTTTCGTTTAGAGATTTAGAGAACGTCCATTAAGTTTGGGGTGATTTGATCTGATACTAATATTATAATAAACTAATATTTCTTTCGTCAATTTGGGGTATTCCCTTGTAGCTTCCCAGTTTCATGCAGAGAGAGTCGATAATAGAGAAGCTGGGTGGCGCTCAACTTTGGGTAAGTTCCAACGAAGGCGAATATTACGCTCAATACGAACCATCGCTGTAAAGTTTTTCATGTTTTCTTTTTTTTCTACATCCATGAGCTAGCTTGTCGTTTATTCGGCGAGTTTTTTTTAAACGCAGCGCCAACTTAACTCACCGTTTACGTCATTAGCAAAATCTCTACAATTATCCTAGATATCTTGGAAAACTTGGGTTTCCAGATAAAGTATTACTGCTGCACTATAGATATGCAGCACGTTCAAGAAATACCCAATTGGCATTTGATGTACACTGTACACATTTTAGTGTATTGGATAAGTCGATTATCCAATACCCTGCTATACATAGTTTAATAGTTTAAAGGCATTATGTGCTCAAACGGCCATCAAAGATAATTATAATTTAAACATTTTGAAATCCCATTTTTTTAATGGAGAAGATTTGAACTTGTTCAAATGGACCATATGCCTAGAATACGTCTTTCGAGTTCCAAGCAAGTTCCCCTTTCTCTGATTACTTGCCTCTGTTCTTTACAGTTTTCAAGACATGCTTTTGCGTTCGGTAAGATCTGGCATCTCGATCTCAATCAAAAACAGTTTTGACTTGATGTCAATATTATTACGTAAAAGACTCATTTCGCTGGGAAAATGTTCAAAACCTTTGTCAGGATGTCCCAGATCTTCAAATATCTTGCCAATATCAAACCTACAATAACGTCGCAATTTACTTGGCCAGTTTCTGATATACCTACGACAACTTATCGAACGCCCCACAATTTATTATTCCTGAACATCTGTAATGAAAGTAATGAAGTAATGAAACAGCGAGTACTAATCATCAGAAAACTTTTTATATACATCTTTAAGTTTATCCCAGAAAACTAGACACAGCACGGTATGTGGTCCCAATCTAACATAACTTGGTCCGATACCTTTATAGAATCCTAAAAATCCCTCGCTCTTCCAAATTTTGCCAACACAGTCCAGGTAGCTGTTGTACAATAGCCCCTTGCCATTTGCATCAACCCCTATATAAGATGAAGGCGTTTGAAAAATTATTAGGTACAAATAAGACGACAGTTACCTTGATTGTATAATCTGGTGGCGATCAAGTCAAATGGTGTCATACCTATACTAAGTGATATCCCGCTAATCATACTGGCTGTAAACGCCGTTGTCAAAGGGGCGTCTTGAAATGAGGGATAGTTTAGTAGCCATTGTTTACAAAAATCAAATGACGTCAGTTGTGACGTGGAGCCAATAAAGCTTCTTGGTATAGAGGCAAAACTACCTCTAAACAAACCTTTGATCTGAAAAATGACCTGAGTTAAATGAACTTGATGGTAAGTCGACTAACACCCTGAGTTTTGAAGATATTTCTTAATGCTTTCATGGTGCCTTCATGGTTGTGTTGGTGTCCAAATGCGATTTCCTTTGCGGCCTGACCTTGTAAGTGTGTTTTGACTAAATAGAGAGGACTGCCGGTATAACCGCCAAGCACGCCGCACAATCCACCGACAATAACCGACTTGTAAAATACAATCTTTCCCTCCTTATTCGTGGTGTAACCCCTGTCACATAAAAGTTGATAGGCCCCTAAAATAAAAACTCTTGGTGGCAGTAGGCGCGTATTGGTTTAACATACCCAAACGTGTTCCGTTCAGCACCAGTTGAAACCATAAAGCGGGAGCCAGACCAGCTTGCAGAGCAAGAATCCCATCGTGTTTCGCAATCATGTAAGTTGCGGAGAAAATGTTTTTATAGTGCACTGTGTATTGACCTCGCGCTGCAAGCTCCCCTTGCAACTGCATCCTGGTTTTCACCACCTCCAAGGGATTGGTAAAAACACCCGCACCGACAGCGGCAATGCCACCAATTAAAAAATCCATTTTTCAAGCGCAAGAAAACGATGCTGCGCTACTTTTTTAACCACGCGATCACATTCATCTGTTGAAAAAAATAGCTTGTCTCAATGTTTTTGACCAGATAGATAGCTTATCTATTCATTCATCACTGTTTCAGAGATAACGTATTGTGTAATAATCCTGTGTAATGAACGTTTTGTTTGCATGATTATACTAATTAAAAATCTAATTAAGACTTTTTAGTTAAATATAATTTGTGTAGGTAGGTATACCTAATTAGCAAAAAGCAAACGTGCCTTGCGAAGAGAATGTTGCAGGTATTTTAGTGATGTTTTATAAATATTATTTTTAAAAGAAAAAAATAAATGCCTAAAGGAATTATTATTTAATTATTTATGTTTATTTCAGTCTCTAGTATACTATACCTACGTCTATCTGTTCCTTTCGTTTTTTTCCGGATATCTGCGAAAGTAGTGTGTGGTACCCAGGCCAGTCCCGAGAGACTGCGCAACTCAAGTTTTAAATTCAAAACTTTCCCTCCCAAACTAACTGAACCCCATGGCACGTGATCGTCTAGACAAAGCTACCTAACTTGAATAACCGAATAATAGGACCACTTACTACGTTGTGTTTTTAAGAGTCGCTACAAGATATGTGTTGCCTGTCGGAGTGAGGATCAAGTAAGGAATACAAATAAAACAAGTACATGCTTTAAAAACAGAGATTTAATCCAAATAATTCGCATTGCAAGATTAAATTTAGAAAATGGTAGTTCACCGAGTACAAATATAAAAATAGGCTGGGAAAAAAAGAACTGACCAAGAAAAAACCCAGCCAACAAATTAATATTGAACTTTATAGTAAAATTAGTTGTCTGTAATGGCATAAATGCATGTTATCAAGTACATCAATACAATGTCGAATCCCAGGCTCCACTGGAATTCCTAAAGAATCAATATTACACAAACATAACAAAAACCATCATTAAAACATTACAATAAATTCATATAATAGGTTTGGATATTGGATGGCCAGTCCAAATCTCACACCGAGTAGTCTTTAGTTGCTCTGGTCACGACATGTCAGCATTGTATGAAATCGCTAGGAGTTGGCCTCTCAGAAGAGCCTTCCACATATAGGAAGGTCACAACGAGAACACGCCACACGCTTTTAGCGAATCCCTGCGCAAGTGAGGCCGGGCTTAGCCGGGAGCCCCATGTACGACTAGCGGGACCCCAACTCTTTCATTCATACATCTCTAAGGCCAGTCCAACCCACTAGTCTTAAAATGCCGGGTTATAAATTACCGAACTCCAGGCTCTCTACCATGAGTACTGACAATAACCGATCAAAAGACAAATCATGACATAACATAAATAACAGAGTAACCGACGGCAAACTCGCACGCATACCAAATTATAAACAAAATATACACAATTTATGTAGGCGTTGACAGTTGACATATTTGCACTGGCATAACAAAGACTCACACAAAACCAATATTCGGTCACTACGTGACAGGGATCGACTAAACGAATTGATTAGCAACATTGACAAGATGGCTTCCCTCGAAGACACAAAAAAAACAGTACATAAAATATATATCTCTGCGTATGTCAGTTCTGAACTTTAGCCAGCCTCTGCTACGTCAAATCGAGATATACTATCGGTATCAAATATAGCACAGTACATATTCGAAACAAGTCACCCCGCCAAATATTAATAATCATAAAGTTCAAATAAATAGTAGGAGCATAACTTTTAGTACTATCACATTACAACAATACAAAGGAACATGTCGTGGCAAACATTGGTATCAAGTAATTAATTCACAATGCCAAGTGCAATATGTAACAATCAACCACCTAACGTACGTCACTCGCCCCCAGACGAGGCACCCTGTAAATACACAGTAACATAATCAGGTAAACAAAAGCGAAATGTGCTGCAATAAATTCAATTATAAATTAAAATGTAGTTCTGCATACTTGTATTGGGTATCGCCCCTAAGGGAACAGACAGTATCTAAATATAAATAAAACACGTAAATCGGTCAGTAATTCCCAGTAGGACCAGTATAATTAAAACTGCAATGTGTATCTGGAAAGTGTTATAAATGACAATAATCAATGCTGTACGAGAATAAAGTTAAATTGGCAAATAATCGAACACGATCATATCATTATTAGAGGGCTGCAATAGACGTAGAGATACATAAAACGAGTACATCACCTTTGTAATTGTCGAAGCTGCACTCACTATTCGCAACGTAAAGATTTACTTCTGGTCTCAACAAAAGCACACATACTTCTGCCGCATTCCCCCATTTTTTTTTAAACAAATCCTAGACGAAATTTGAACGTGCTCCGAGACGGGTCGATACGGATCATTAAGTTTCCTCGCATAGCTGGCATAGCGTAATATTTGACACTTTTATTGTAAATTATGGCCCATTTCAATGTAGAGCAGAGAAGAAAAAAAACACGTGTTCCACGAAAACGAAACAAAGCGCAATCTTGACCTTTTTCGTCGCGCCAGGCTCGGATTCGGGAATATTTAAATCGAATTTTAGCGGGCTAATTCGGTTCCATCACAAGGTCTTAAGTTATTCTATACTACTCCGGTATTTACCTTACGAATTAGGAAAACTGCAGGAAAACCTAATTCGGAGTAGCCGGCAGAATGCTCGAAACTGGTCTAAGGTAATTCCCATCTCTACCACAGATGAAAAATTCACCTCAACCCAGGTTCGAACATCCGACCTCCGGATTTATAGTCCAACGCTCTACCACTGAACCATAAAGCCGGCGATGAGGTTGGTGTCGAGAGCTTTGGCGGATTTGGTGACCAGAGCAGCCTTTTTGTCGGGCACGGTTGAGATGGCGGCTTCCTCCCTCTTCTGTGTGCGTCACTCTTCTACTCTTGTACCGATTTTGACGTCTCTTGCAGGCCCATGTATAGTTCTCCCCTTTTATAAAATGGATATATGTTAGCTGGTTGAAAACAATGTTGATCTATTTTTCTTTTATATTGATGATCGATTTTGGTCTCGGTGGCGAGTTCAAACAGATGGATGGTAGGACAAAGCGCTAGTACCTAGTAACCTAAAGGTGAAGGTGGTATGAAAGGTAAATTGCAGGTTCTAAAAGTTCGAAAAACTATTTATTCGTACTAAAAATGTACCACCGCAAAAAACAGAAAACAGTCTGTACAAAAGGGTCACAATCTGTGAGACTCTCATAGTTTAATAATTTAAATTTTACTATATAAATAAATAAATTATATAGATACCATTTAAGCTGCAAACGACATATTATCACAGAATAACAAATTGGCTACAGTAAAATTATCTTATGTTATGTTGAATTGTTTAAATTTAAAAATTAAAACTCAATAAATGTGATTATTATTATTATTATTATTATTAAATAGATCTTTAAGTTTGTCCCAAAAGACTAGAGATAGCACAGTGTGTGGACCTAATCTAATATAACTTGCACTAAGCCCTTTGTAAAATCCTAAGAATCCTTCCGCGCTCCATATTTTACCGACACAATCCAGGTAGCCGTTGTAGAGTAAACCTTTACCATTTGCATCCACCCCTAAGAAAAAAAGTCACACAAAGCATTTGTCAAACTTACTTACCCTGATTGTATAATCGCAAGGCAATTAGATCGAACGGTGTCATGCACAAACCAATAACCACCCCGCTGGTCATGCTCGCCACGAACGCTGTCAGAACGGGAGAGTTTTGAAATGTTGGGTAGTTCAATAGCCACTCTTTGCAGTAGCTGAATGACGTTAACTGGGACGTCGAGCCAGAAAATGCTCTTGGCATGGATGACGCGCCACCTCTAAATAGGCCTTTAATCTGAAAAGCTAAATATGGCATCTTCCTCGGACGCTTCTAAGTACCCCGAAACTAACCCCTTGAGCATTATAAATGTGCTTGAAGGCCTGCCACGCTCCTTCATGGTTATGCTGGTGGCCGAACGCTATTTCCTTCGCGGCCTGTGCTTGTAAATGCGTTTTTACCAAATATAGAGGGCTGCCCGTCCACGCGCCAAGCATTCCACAGACCCCACCAACAAGAACAGACTTATAAAATATGCTATTTCCATTTTTATCTTTAGTATAGCCTTTGTCATATAAAATTTGGTACGTTCCTACGACAACGGTCTTGAATGCCTTGAATCTTTGGATAATGTACCTACCTAATCGCGTCCCGTTCATTACAAATTGAAACCACAACGCCGGCGTCAAACCGGCTTGCAAAGATAGAATGCCATCGTGCTTTATGATCACGTAACTCGCTGAAAGAATATTTCTGTAATGGACAGTGTACTGACCTTTAGCCGCAAGTTCGCCTTGCAGCTGCATTCTGGTCTTGATTACTTCTAACGGATTCGTGAACACCCCAGCACCTACTGCTGCAATTCCGCCTATCAAGAGATCCATGCTTGCGTTTGTGTTTGGTTGTCACGTGTTAAATTCATAAAACCTAAACACGAAGAGAATTATTTTCAGTTGATATACCTATGATTATATCATGTTACGTATATCGTCTTCGGTGATCATCATCAGGTAAAAATATTCTGCACCCGACGTATTTTTTCGAGGGAAGCAAATTTTAATTAATTTGCTAGTCTATTCCAGATTCAAGATTGATTCAATGATGATGAGTTTCATATGCGTTGTGTTTTTACAAGAACTAATCATATAAGGCAAGAAGGAAGAATCTATATTAGATATAATGAGAACACACTGTATGTAAATGCGCTTCGATTACTAGAGAGCATGGTATTGGTCGCACGGGAAAGTTATAGTTTATTTCGATGAGACCTTTCATTAGTATACCTTGAAGGATAGAACATGCGCCCCCTCCCCCGCCCATTTTCTAAAGTTTAACTTGGCACCACTAAAGGCATGCGTATGCAAAATCTGAGACCAATTGGTGGTCGTATGTAAAAGTTATGCACGTTTTACTTTCAAAAACAGCATCTCAGGAAATAATTCGAGGGGGGGGGGGGCCTTTTAGACAGCGAAATTTGATGGCCGTCTGGCACACTTCAAGGTATAGGCTACCTACTGCAAAAAATTCCAGGACTCTAGGACACAAACAATAGCACATTTTTAGCGCATTTTTTAAGAATTTCCTACCAGTACCTAAGGGTTATATGTGTTTCTGTGCAAGCCACTGTAACTGCCTAACAATGTTAATCCTATACAAAAATATTGATCACTTACTGTTAATACATCGTGCTTTTTCGAAAAAATATGCGCCCTGAGAGCAATTGGTTGTCGTATGTAAAAGTTATGCACGTTTTACTTTGAAAAACAGCATCTCAGGAAATAATTCGTGGGGGGGGGGGGCAGAAGTGGGTCCCGACGGACGGACGGACGGACGGACAAAACGCAAACAATACCCCATTTTTAGCGCAATATCTTAAAAATTAAAAAAATGTGCTATTGTTTACGTTTTGTCCGTCCGTCCGCACCCACTTCTCCCCCCCCCCCCCCCACACGAATTATTTCCTGAGATGCTGTTTTTCAAAGTAAAACGTGCATAACTTTTACATACGACAACCAATTGGTCTCAGGTTTTGCATAAGCATGCCTTTAATGGTACCAAGTTAAACTTTAGAAAAGGGGGGGAGGGGTCACATATTCTACTCTTCATGGTATTCTATCGACTACACATATGTATAGGCCCTTCCTGTACGTACGATAAATATAATATGCACCACAATGCAGATTATACGTCGAAAACGAGGTCCACCATAGAATCTTTATGGGATTACGCGCCAGATGTAACTAGAGTGACGTCATGCGCGGGCACGACGTGTTTTCGTCCGACAACTGGGCACCCGATGCTAGAGAGCGTAACTATCCTTGCTCTTTAAGGTGTAGATAATTGTATTGATTGCAAAAACCATTATTATTATTATTATTATTAAATGAAGTTTATGAAAGTGTATTTATTTGTACAGCCGTAAAAATTCATCACTTTTGGTCATTGTAAGTAACAAAAAATGGCAGTCTTTTACCGTAATAACAATGTGCTGCCACCAGAGCTCCCACTGTTGTTAATCTGAATTGCGAAAAATACAATTCCATTTGGTTTATAAATCTAATTTTTGTGGCCTTTTGAAAGTCATTCTATAGCGTTTTCGATTGGCAAAACTCGTGCTGCAGAGTGCAATTTTTACGTTCTATTGGTAATTTTAGGGCAATTTTCTGTGTTCCATTGGCAAATGTGATACAACAATTACGCACTCAGTGCAAATTTCGACGCACGAGGTCCGAGAGCTCGTGGAGCTGCTAGTTAACAAATTTTCAAAACAAACGTGCGGCAATTTGAATTTGTTTCTTGCATTGGAGAGTTTTTTGTCGTCATCTTGCGATAGCGAAGATGGTGAAATAGCCATAACGTCCATTTTACAAAAAGTTGCACTTACTCATTAAACTGAACGCCAAAAATTGGTCCTTTACAGGAATTTCAAATTTATCTTCCTCATCGTTTATCATAAATAATACTGAAATCGTTTCAGTCATTTTTTAGAATAGAGATTTGTCGATCACCTAAATCTAAAATGAGGTTATGGACAAATGACAACAAATATTTACGAATATTTATGTTCCATTGAGAGCAATTTTCACATGGATTTCTTCAGTTTCTCGTGCAACACTCGTGCAGTACGAGTTTTGCCAATCGAAAACGCTATCAGGGAATTCAATGGTTTAGAGCAATATATACAGGGTGAGTTTTTTTTCATTTTAAGCATTAGGATCTTGGAAACCATAAGACATAGAGATTCGGTTAAATGAGAAAAGAGTTGTAGTTTTACGTGCTTATTCAAGATAATCCTCCATAATTTCAAACAGTTCCAAGATCGAGCTACTAGATCAAAAGTTACAGCCATTTGAATCTTATGCTTTTGTTTTTTTTAAAAAAAATCCACAGTTTACTAGATATGAGCGAAAAACAGATTTAGTGATTTTTCATTTAACTGTTGTAGAATCGTTAGTATTAGAAATACAGAAATATGCAAAGAACAAAAATGGTAGATTTTTCCCGCTTAATAAGATACATTTATTAATATTTATTCTTCTTTTATAATTTTATTTATTTATTGGTTTATCTTACGGGAGATGCCCCAAAAATTTTCGAGTTATAACGCAAACTTACATTTTTTACATGGTAATCATAGTTGGCTGTGACATTTTTAAAAAGTGCATTTTTTCTGTTTACAATGATATAAGGATATAAGGTTGTACTTACTTTGACAAATAAACATGATACAGTATTGTTTGTATTATTAAGAGTAGTAAAAACAGATTTTGCCATGGGAAACATTTTTGTTCTCTTAATTACTGTCTATTATAATATTTAACTTGCAGTTCGTTGTGCGGTGGGGCACCGTTGTGTTGAAACAAAGAGTATTATGGTTACTCTTTGGTTGAAACCAGCGTAAATTACGTCGTGTTTCCAAATCTAACCCATCCTACATATCTTGAAATTCATTTGGTAGAAAATGAACATTCGCCTGTCCAATTTTCGTCGTAAACGAAAGGTACCTATCTCACTAGATATTGTTTTCCATGGCCAACTCTGTTTACTTACCTCTCAATAATACGAAAATTACTGCAGGGCGTTTATTTATTAAAGTACATTTAGCAAGCCTTATATCGTTATAAAGAGAAAAATTTGTCCTTTTTAAAAATGTCAAAGCCAACTATGACTACCATTTAAAAAATTAAAGTTTGTATTATAACTCAACAATTGTAAGATCTAAAAATAAATTAGTATGTTCATCATGTTAAGCATTAAAATGTCTAAAACTTTTATTCATGTCATTTTGTTATATTTCTAATAATATCGATTCTACAACAGTTAAATGAAAAATCAATAAATCTGTTTTTCGCTCATATCTAGTGAACTGTGGATTTTTTTCAAAAAGCAAAAGCATATCTTAAATAAGCTCTTAAAACGACAACTCTTTCCTCATTTAACCGTATCCGTATGTCTTATGGTTTCCGAGATCCCAATGCTTAAAATGAAAAAAAACTCACCCTGTATATAGTGTCTTCAATAAAACAAATTGGTATCAACTTATGGTATCGCCAACTTGAAAACAACGATCGTAAACTAGGTTGTATACAAGAGAGAGTGGGACGGAAGCCGGCCATTTGCAAAAGCCACTTATGACTCATTTTTGTTGTGGTTTTTGCAGTGACATAAAGTAATGGTTAGTTGTTGTGCTTGTGATTGCTCCAAAACGGAAAAAAATAAAATTTTGGGAATTACATTTCATGTGTACCTAAGTATTGATACCAATATTATTTTTATATAGTACATGTAAATTTACAAATTTTTTATCGGAATGTAGTTTGAAGTTAGTTAAACAAAAGTCATAGGTGGAGTAGACACATGGGGGTTTAGATTGTTTTCGTGTATTCTTTATAATTGTATCCTTCTACAACTGTAAGGTAGGTACGCCACTGGAACAGGAAACTACTGTCCGCCATTTGCAAAAGCAATCGCGGTCGCACGTATATTGTTGATATTCTCCTTCCTGGTATTCTTTATTCATTGATGCAAACAGCTGATGTAGTAAACAAAAATAAACACCGTTTTTGTCACCAACAATATGCCTCCCCCCCCCCTCCGGCGCCACACGAAAATTTGCTTCAGGGCGCAGCATTACCGTTGATGGGATATTACCAGTCTTCCTCTTCCATGGTCGAAGTTGAAAATAATATTTTAAATTGTCAAATATATCAGAGGTTTTTTTCGAGGTATAGATAGCCGGGATTCGTTGTGGGACACCCTGAATAATAAATGTGATAGGTATTATTACTATTATTTTTAAATTTCCGTTTTTCAGCAACTTCTATTTGGACCCAAATTTTAATCAGCACACAAAATTACAAAACTGGCATAATTTCTATCTTCTAATAAGTTACGTATCCAAGCAACTCCACTCAATTGGGGACAGCCTGTATGTGCTGTAATGTTACCTATATTAGTAGGTAGTGTACATCGCATGAAAAAATAGATCTTGAATTGTACAGATACAGATAACGAGTAACGACCATGTTACTCTTAGAGAAAGAAAGATAGTCTAAGATGTTACTACTATCATTGAATATCCAACTCCTCTGGATATTCAATGCTACTATCAAAGAGTATACTACCTATACATATTTCAATTCCACTAACTATCAGCTTTATCAGGCATATGGAGGCATAATTAAATAATGAGGTTACTCTATCCGCCTTTAATTAATTAACTAGCTACAAAGTACAAACTTACTGGTGCAATAAAGTAACTACTTGAATTTCACTATCCATGAACTACAAGTAGCGCTAAATAGTTTGTACTAAAGATATGTATCTAGAAAATTATGTAATAATTTTATGTTGGCATCATCTAAAACTAAAGGTTAGTTTTATGGAGCGCGTAGAATAAAACGACAACAAATAATAACAGTTTCCTGTCCGTGTCTGCACCATGCAAAAGATGATCGGATTTTGTTTTTTTTCCGAAAATGAAATGCTGTTTCGTTGCAATCTTGGTTTCGTTGATTATGAATATTATGATAATCGCTCATAAGTCATAACCAATGCGATGAAGAATGAAAATTGCACGGTGCATCGTTTACCGCTGTCGTACCATTGACCTAAATAACGTTCGCTACATAGACGGCGTTGCCACGTTTAATTTAAGGTGGCATACATAAACATTTCAAATCGACATTTTAGGGGCCATGCTCTCCGTTTTGTGGAAAACCCCGGTTTACCAGAGCTTAAATATTAAAGTCGGCTTTGCAAGCGATTGTTATGCACCGAAATAAAAATAATCCGGTTTAATTAAGCCCGAAGGCAATTAGACAAGAAATGGCGTTTTTATTTACTACCAAAGCTGTCAGATAAAACCTTACAAAAAGAAAGAGTGAGGAATGATAATAATGAGAATATAATGCATTAATCACATGACACTATATTCTTCTACTCAATTGGCGAAAACTATAAAACAAATGACCAATCAGCCTAATAAAATGATTGCCGCTACTGGTGCTCGCCTGCTTGTTTGTGCAATTTGTCTCTTTATACTACATTTTTTGTAGGAAATTTTCTTCTCTTTTATTTTGCTCACCATATATTTTTTCTAAAAATGCAGTTTTGGAGATATCTGTGAAAACCGTTCTTATGGCGGCCATCTTAGTAAGATGGTGCCGCCGGCGGCATGTTTCGAATTGTGCATTTTATGAATTTTAGTTCTGCGCACCTACACCTACAAAATTTTAAAACGTTTTGTTATTTCCAGGTAAAAATCCCCAATTACTGGCATATTAATTAGCGGAACATCTAGAAATCAAAATAATTTCCAAACGGTATGTTTTGCTAGTGCACTTTTTACGGCACAAACGTATAACCAATGCACCTAATCCCGAGATTTGTGCCGACAAAAAAGTGTGCGAAGTTAGCGGAACATCTAAAAATCGAAATAATTTCCAAACAGTGTTTTGCTGGCAAACTTTTTACGGCACAAACGTAGCACTAACCAATCCACCTAGTCTTGCAATTTGTGCCACCAATGTGCTAACTTCACGGACAAATCTAGATTAAATAATAAATTAAACAAATATAGCAAACGAGCTCCTGGGTATGGCTATAGCATGTGCAAAACCAAATTTTAAACTTGATGTTAGTTTTGCTTTTATTAAAAGTGTATATGTGTGAAATTTCATTTGAATGCCTCCATAAATAAGAAAGTTGGAACTGCGCATGCGCAAAACCAAATTTTGAAACTGGTGTTAAATTTTCTTTTATTCCAAGTGGCTATGTATCAAATTTCATTTAAATCCCTCCATAAATAAGAAAGTTGGAACTGCGCATGCGCAAAACCAAATTTTGAAACTGGCGTTAAATTTGCTTTTATTCCAAGTGACTATGTATCAAATTTCATTTAAATACCTTCATAAATAAGAAAGTTTGCCATTCGCAGTCTGTAAATGGTCGAAATGCGCAAAGGGCACTGTGAATGCTGATCGATTAGGCTCAACTTTTGGAACTGTGTTTTATATGGCTAAAGCTATGCGCATATTGAATTTCATGCAATTCGGTTCATAACTAACAGAGATGTCAGAAGGGCCTACTTTATTTTTTGGGCTACATACCAATTCACGAACTCCGATCTACAAATTTGATAAATAATCCACCTGCAAAATTTCATCGTAATCGGTCCATTCGTTTATGAGTTATCGTGCTAACAGACGGACAGACAGACACCGCAAAATTATAAACTCGCTAGGAGCTCGTTAATAAGAATCAAACACAGCTGTAAGGTACTGTCAACTAGCGGAAGCTACCAAACCAAACTTGGGGGAATAGTTTTAAAAAGCATAGAAGGTAAAAGTCAAAACATACACTTCACAAGTGACATAAATGTTATGAGCATTAAAATTTATTGTAGGAGTTGTAGATTATTTCGATTAAGTAATCATTCTGAACTACAGAGAAAAACATTTTATTCAAAGTAAGAAATGTCACTATTCCGTTTTCATAAAAGTAAAAGCATTTATAATGAAACGGTAAGTTGTAATTCCTCTGATCCTTTCACTAGTTGTAAATGTTAGATAGAGAACTTTAAATGCCTCAAACGATTAGGATACGTAATTGGACAGAAAATTGGCGAAGGTGCATACAGCAAAGTATGTATTGCACTTTTCACCAGGGGTGATGTGCAAAAGAAATTAGCGTGTAAAATAATAAATAAAAAACGTGCACGCTCAGAACTTATGAATAAATTTTTACCGCGTGAAATTAGGTGAGAAATCAAATCACTTAAGTCAATCGAATAGCTTTTTTCACATTCCAGTATTGTGTCTATGATCGATCATCCAAACATTGTAAATGTTTTAAACATATTGGAAATTAATAACACTTTGTACATGTTCATGGATTATTGCAAAAATGGCGATTTGCTCGAGTATCTTCGAACTCATGGTGAACTGTCACGAAAACGAACAAAACACTTTTTTAAGTAAGTTTCTTCGACAATGCTTTTATGTATAGGTACGTCAATTTTGTATAGTCAAATGGTAGACGCTGTCCAGTACTTACATAATGGAAACATCGCACACAGAGATTTAAAATGTGAGAATATCTTTTTAACTCATAATTACACTGTGAAGCTGGGAGACTTTGGCTTCGCAAGGAGGAGTTGCGATGATGAACAACAGAATATTTTATCCAGCACTTATTGTGGTTCAGCAGCATATGCTGCACCCGAAGTGTTACAAGTAATGTGCAATTATTTCACACTGAAGCATTTTTCAATAACTTTATATAGGGCATACCTTACGACCCAAAAATGTTAGATGTTTGGTCTCTGGGTTGCATACTATTCATAATGTTATTTGCTTCGATGCCCTTTGACGATTCCAATGTAACAAAAATGTTGAGAAGTCAACAAGAAAAATCCGCATATTTCGATGTTTGCAGAGTGTGGCGTAATAGTTCACCGGCTTTATGTGACTTGTTTAAGTAAGTACCCGTTCGTTTGTTTCGCACAAACTACCATTGAATCTGCTTAGTAACATACTCGAGCCCGATGCAGCGAAAAGATGTAACATTGCTGAAATTGCTAGCTCCAAATGGTTGCAAGAAGAACACTGTGTGCAAATCTTACGCGATTTATGATAAAAATTGCTGAAAATAAAAAAAATCAAAAAACGCTTTATTAATTACCTACTTATAACAAAACTTTCGTTGTAACTCAATAACTTAACATGGAATCTGCAATTAGAGTTGTGGAAATGATTGTGCTCTGTATTCGTTTACTAATCCCCCTGTCAGAGTTTCACTTCTGATATGGGCACAGTGTCTCCTGTTACTGTGGAATTACTTGGAGAAGCAAATACTTGGGATCTTAACCCATTTCTACACAAATTGGCCACTTCTGAAGGATCACGTCCTTTGGTTTCTGGTAAGTAGTACCTAAAATAATAGTCAAAATAAGTACGAGTAGGTACAACCAATGTGACAATTTTTAATTGTAAGATGGTAAATCAGTGTTTTTACAAGATTTTCCATAAAAAAAATTCCGAAGGCATATTTTAAAAAGATCTACTGTGTAACCTCCTACAAAAGGTATTACCTAGTACTTTAGTAGTATATGGTACAGACAGGGCCTTAAGCGTTTTCAACAAAAAAATTTGCGGGAAAAGCCCTAAATTTTCCACAATCTTAAAGCAAAGTTCACATAATTCCGTCGAAATGTAGTAAGGTTATGTTACTCCATATTTCATGATTACTTAAGTTGGTAACATTCCAACTTCAATTTCATAAGAGGTTATGCTATTTTTCAACAATAGTACTGTCCAGCCCTGGATACAGAACTTTTTAGACGAAATTGAATCAATATTACGTATGTATTACATACCTACTGCTTCATGAAACGGTACTGTATTGTCTGTATAAATTCACATCCATATCTTAATACCTACTTTGGCGCGTAATTGTTCAAACCCACAAAAAATATTTTATTTGATGATATTTTCACGTTGTAGCGGTCTTTAGAAATAGATAAGTGTTAATCTAAATAATTCGCGATTCAGATTAACAGTGAGACCTCTGGTGGCAGCACATTGTACTATTGGTGGTATAAGACCGCCATTTTGTTCATTTACAATGGCTAAATGTAATCAATATTGTAGTTTTTGCGGCTGTAAAAGTAGATACTTTCAAAAATTTAATTTTCAATCAATGTAATTACACTTTAAAAAGCAAGTCTTTAATTGTGAACAGTGTAATTATACACACCAAAAAAATAGGTGATATACAGGCTGATTCAAATTTGAGGGCCCCCCATGGGGTTCTCGGAAAATGTAAGAGATAGGGCGGAAGGTAAAGGTAGTTTAAATTTGGCAAAGTTGCAATACAGTTTTTATTTTTTAGTTATTTTGTTATTTAAAAAATATTGCAAAATAATTGACACATTATTATGGCCACTCTTTTCTCTCTACAAGATGCTAGTTTTAAATTTATGAAATCAGAAAAAAATGCTCTATCAAATGACATAAACAGTAAAAATGACTTCCATACGAAAAAACAAAGTTGATGATGGGTAACGGGAGACGAAACGTGAGACATGTTAAAAATTAAGCGTAGCAAAAACATTGCATACCTGTGCTTTTCACGCAACCAACTTACCTTACAAGTAGTAAAAGACCCGCTGTGAACGCGGCGAATATTATAAACGAAGACGCACCAATCTTGGCTTGCATGAGAGGAAACGTTAGGCCGACTATGAAATTACCACCGTAATTCGCCATACCACCGAGAGCCATAGCACTTGGACGCGGTCCTACTTCGAATAATTCGGAACCGATAAAATAAGGAATCGGACCCAGCCCAATTCCGTAGCACAGCACGTAACCAAGCACAGCAATAATGCAAATGTACGAGATCCACGAGTAGGTCTCCTGCAAAATTGTACCGTATGAAAAGTTATCACATATACAGGGCAACCACACCATTCAAGTGTTAGGATTTGCTTTTCCTTACAATTTTGAGTGAAAGTGGCAGTTTTTAACGAAACACCTTGTATGGTCTGGACACCTTGCATTTATAGCAGGCCAACAGTAGTTTACTCTCCGATCATGATGAATTATTTTTTCATTCTTGTAAATCAATATTTTAGTAATATTGCCTATTCATTAATTTTAATTATTGAGACGTATACTTAAATATGGTTATTTATTATACAGGATGAACATTATTTCTTCAAAACGAAATTTTTTTGGTATCCAAAATTATAAAGTTTGCTACCGATTTACGTACTTTAAATTTGTGGTCAGTGGCGTACGTCTATCTCCACGGTTAAGGGGGGCATATTCATTCATTTTTTCATTGGCAACTCATAGTTTTCGTTACATATTCTTAAAGAGTACACTTATTATATTATGTAATCAAATTTAAAAAAAAAACTCATATTAAGGAAAATAGTTGTGTAATTAATTTAATAATTTCATTAGTTTGCGTTTAAAAAAAATCGTTACTCCTTTGTTAGTTATGTCAAAGCAATTTATTGTACCAAAGATTAATAAAATTATTAGGGCCCTATTATTTTTTCTCTCCAATATTATTTTAAAATTGATGGCAGATATATGTTAATAAACTTTTGATTGTTATGCTGTCAAAATTAAAAAAATTACATAAAAAGACAACTAACCGCTCAACAGACGCATGATATATGTTTACACGCTAGTTCTAACCTATGTAAAGAATGAAGTGCGAAGAAAATTATGTACAAAACGGTTACTGGTAAAAATGTTAAAGACAATTAATTTGAGTGTCTATTTTATGTTAAACCCCTAAGTTACAAGGGCACATTTTTGACATTTATTCATTGAGGAACATCGATAATTCATTACTGTGAATAACTAACTAATAAAATCAAAGTGAGTCTGAAGCACAGTTCATTTTTGAATCAAATTGCGTCAACCTTCTTTCGAAATTAATTTTCAACAAGTAAAACAAGAGAGAGTGGCGCACATGAGTAAATAAAGTAACTTGATTAGTGAGTGGACACTCATAGAAAGGTTCACTGTAAATGATGGAGGAAATCAAAACAGGCTTACTGTGTAGTTGTCAACACTTTTTTTTAAATTTTAATGTGCATTCCTTGGTATTGCACCAAAAAGGTGTAACTCTCGTGCAATTATTAACAACTCCAATGTTATCACTATCTATCCGTCATGATCATCCAGAAGTAAACTACCTTTGACCTACTATCACCATGACAGCAGTAGGAGATTACCACAAATGTAATAGTAAAGGCAAGAAGTAGTAGGCATAGAATTGATGACAGGCAACTAAGTTGCATTACACCTCGCCTTTTAAAATACGACATGACAAACACAGAAACACAGGCCATTAGCAGGTTTATAATCCCAGTACCAATTGTGGCTAACTGACTTTCTTCACTGGATAGCCCGGCATGTTGGAATATTAAAGTCGAGTAATAAAAGACCTGCAAAAGATGCTTTCAAAATTGACTTTAAAAAATCCATGGATGGTCTTACAGCATTTATGCCACTGAACTGTTGCCCGCCTTGCATTGCACACACAAGTATTACTGGTAACAGCAGACTTCTATCGCACAACACTTTTGCTATGTTCCAACTGGATTGAGTTTGTCGAGTAGCCACTTGCATGTGCATTTCCATTTCCATAATTTCACGTTCGATAATGTCAGGAACATCATCCCGTACACGTTCCAATTCTAAGGGGTGAATCGTATTAGACAGGTACTTTAGGAAAAAACACATACGTTTAAGGGCATCAGCGCGTCTTCTGTTCAACAACAAAAACTTCGGACTTTCCGGCAGCATTGGTATTGTGAAGGCCGACAGGAATATAAAAACGGCGTAACATGATAATAAATAAGGCCACAATTCTGCGTCTCCTGTAAAAAGATGGGCGTAACTCGGAAATTCTTACTTTACGTTTTCGTACCCAACACTTGGTTTAGAGAGAAAATTTGAGCAAGAAGTACACCTAGCGTGATACCCAACTGGCAGAACACTCCCATTGCTCCTGTAAGGTACGGTGGCGCCAATTCGATTAAGTACATAGGAGCGATGCATGTGGTTAAACCTATAAGACGAAAATTTAGTCCCATTTATAAAAATAGGTAAATTGTTAGAATTAAATTTTAGATTAAGGTTTTGGTAACTGCTTTTAACACTGTTATGTGTGTGTTTAGGGACCTAGTCAATTTGGAGTTTCTTGTTACTCTAGGCAAGCCTAGTCGTTATTAATAATTCACTCGATATTTATTAAACGAAATATTTATAATTGTGTAACAGAGAAAATTACATTTGTTTTAAAATCTTATTGTGGTCTTTTTGAAGTCACTGACGAGTAGTAGTTATACTGGACAATCAGGTTAGTTTTACACCAAGATAAATCTTACGTATTTTGTCAAGTAACTGTGTGGAATGGTACAGATGTGGTAAGTTACCATTTTCAGCATAGTTTAGATTAATAATCTACTATTTCTTAAAAACAATTAGTGTTTCACTGTTTACAATGATCCTTATCTTGATATAACTAAAGAGATTAATAGGTCAAATCCTGCCATTTCCTGTAACTACAAATCTGTACCGTGTACATCATCATCAACAACACAAATACTCAAATTTAAGTAAGTAGTTCACATGTACATACGTACCTACGCCTTGTGAATGGCATGCCTGCAACCTGGATCACAGAATATATTACCCCCAAAAAGGGGGCCCGGTATTTTTGGACCGATAGTTGCTGATAGTAAGAATTGCGGGCTATTGATAAGACTACAATAATTAATATAGCATTTTTGCCAATTTTGTAAAAGCCATATTGTTGTTATTGCTCTCCGAGATACTATTTTAATCTTTTGTATTGTAGCGGTGCGTTTCGTTAGGGTCGTAAAGGGTTTTCGATTTTGTGTATATACACAGGATGTGCCTAAATAGGATGAAGGGGCTTTTCGCTTATTTTATGAATATATGACAGCAACATATAAACATAGAACCGCAAACACTTTGTTATCGATCTACAGGGTGTTACTATTTTACGATTTTTAGATTATAAGCTACTATGAAGGGCTTACATCATTGGCCATCGCAATGGTAATAAGAATTTACAAGGTGATGTTTTTTCAGGGGTCATATGTTCAATTTTCTACCCCTGATTGTAAAATCCGAAATTGTTTCTCTACTTTATTTAGGTAGTTAGTTAAATGAAAGTAAAATTTTTAAAATGGTCCAGCAGGCCCTGGCTTTATTTGGACAATTTTTTATGGTTTTGACAGTTCGTATTTGAAATTGTGTCTTGTGTTTGCATGTTTAAAAAAACACCCTGTAGATCGGAGTTTGCGGACCGTAGAACTTATAGTCATAAAATAAGTCAAAGAATTATCCATTATGCACATCATATTTAGAAACAGCCTGTACACTCGTGTAGGGTCGGAAAAGAATAACCCTACTGCAAAGAGCACTGCTTTGTCTATAAGGCGACTACACAACAATCAGTCATGCGTAACTAGGGCACGAGTTTAGAGAGCGAAGAGTGTGGAGGTTCTATGAAACAGACGTTGGCATGATATTTTTCACAAATGGGAAAGGAGTGGACTTACTTTGAAATCTATTTGAGCTGGCCATTCTTTGTCTTATCAAATTTAATGTCAGATTTCAATTATTAAAATTCAAAAGTTACTTTCTCCAAAACGCATTCTGTCTAAATTTGTAGGAATTCTTTTAGCATTTTGATTCATTTTACACTTTTAAAATCACACCGTTCTAGATACGCCTTTATCTCCAATTACCAAAAAAAAGTTGAAAATTACCTGCAGACAGACCAACCACAAATCTTCCTAGTAGCAGCACTTCAATTGAATTTATAAACTTCGTAATCACAAAAAAGAATGCCCCCGCAAAAGATAAACCTCCGCTAAAAACACACGCCCACTTTCGACCCATAAAGTCGGCTAACCACGATCCCGTCAGAGAACCAATTATGCCCCCTATCAAAAAAATGGATACTATGGAAGACCACAGCATGGTGAGTTGTCCGTATGTAAGATCTACATTGTATCTTGTACGTGCGCTTTCAAGGCACCAACTTCGAATTACCTACAAAATCACAAATATATAAATGAAAAAGGGAGTCCAATACCTACCTCGGCTGGAGAATTTACAACCCCAATATTGTAGCCCACAGGTACGTATAGTCCGATTGTAATGGATAATGCAACTATTATCAATAGAACGCTCCATCTCTTTCTACAAGCTTCTGCACCCTAAAATATAAAAATCTTAGCTCTTAAATAGCTACAAGAGCCTACAGGTTATCATTATTTCGGTATTGCATTTAAAAGGAACTACGCAATTTTTAATAATTTGATTAGAGATTATTTCTATATTACGTAACTGCATGATTGCTTATTTATAACGTTGTTAATATGAGAACCATATCAATTACTAGGTATGCAATTCAAATGAAGATATAGTGTTACTTTTAATGGATTCGCAATCCTACAGAAGACATTTTGTGCCTGAATATACTACAAATTATACATAATAAAGGGGTGGCAGAAGTTAGAAAAGGGTGTTTTACATTCACATAATTTATTTTGAAAAGGAACCAAAATAGTTAATAAAAATGTATCAACCAAGGAAGACACGGAGGTTTTTCTTTAACTAGCTTTATCTGACAATTATAATGGACAATATATAAATTCTAATTTCTTTCTTCTCGACCTTTGGAAGCACTGGAGCAGCAACTGCCCAAGAAAAATTTGAATAAAAATTGAACCATAGACGACGATCAACAGAATAAGTAAAAAGCAGTATCAGGACATGGTCAGACTCCGGGAAGCCCATCTCTGTTATCTTACATTTTGTTCTGGAAAGGTGAAATAAGAATAATTTAATTTAAGCTTGAACTAGCATAGTACGCAAAGCAAGACAAGTTGGTTAGGCAAGCTGGTAAGGGTTGGTTGTAAAGGGAACGATAAAATTAGTACTTACACAACAATATTTTACGCAATCACACAGAATCTGCTTCATACTTTGCCGAACTTCCTTAAATGTACATGTGGACGTCTTCAAAAGATTCAAGTTTTGTGTGAAAAATTGCAGAGTAAGGAAAGAGTTTTATAATGTGATGAAGATGTTTATTAGATATAAGTGTACAAATGTGAATTACTATTAAATGTTAATATCTTTTATTGATCAAAGCTTCTACAACAATCCAAATATCATTTACGCCGGGAACGACCGAACAGAACGCAAAAATCCACCAAAACCATCCACATTGCCAGCTGTCGAAAACTAAATGTGTTAAAAGTACGGTCGCACTTGTATGGCAACCGATAGCTGTTTGTTGTTAAGGAATGAGACGAATAGGTAAAGTTAGTACAGGACACATCCTCCTATCTAAAATATAAATCGGAGCTGTTTATTGCATTTACTCAAATAATTAATCTTCAATCAGCTCAAATTTAAAATTTTAGCTATAAAAGGATACATAGCAGTGATGAATTGTAACTGAACATGGTAAAGCCAAGGATAAAGGCCAGCATTTCAAAGGCGATTATACCAGCTGCAACACCCAAACCAATTACAAACCTGCAAAAGGAAAACACAGTTTGTTAGCAAAGGGAGTATACTGAATATCTAAATATTATTATTATTAGTATTTTAAGTCAGGGGATTAGTCCGATTAGTGTGTTTATGACTCAGTTTAGATAAATTCAAAGCTTACTCTTAAATAAGTTCGTAAATAAGTAAGAGTGACATTAAAGTGATATTTTAACAGCAAGGGTAGAAAACACAAAAACAAAGGAATGGCCAATATAGGTAATGACATATGACATCAGTCACATTAAACTGCGATATTACACATTTTTGACTTCATTGATAGGTCATAATAGACCATGTTAATTTTTAAAAAGTCTATAAATTGGCGCCTATCTTTTTCGGTTTTGCCTGCGTTTCGAATCAAAGCGAGATCCTGATTTCCGTAAGAAGACTTCACTCTTGCAAGTGTACTGTGTACAGGACTGAGACCAAACTTGCCGTCTCTTTCTTACGTCGCCTCTATATTTTGCATCGTGATGCCAGACGAGTGCAATGTGCGCGATTCGGTGTTAGTTGCAGGTTATGAAACAACAGACAATTTTGTGAATACGAACACAAATGCGCAATTCTAAGGTCACCTTGTGACCTTGATTTTGATTGCATCCTAGGTGGCGGTTCGCACCGCGAGTCACGACTGCGCCCGGACACCACTGAACTCTCTTGTGAACTCCGGAAACGGAGACAAGAGACAGAGACAGGAGACCACCGCCAACCACGATCGATACTAGAGTCTATTAGTGGATACGTCATAATCGACCGCGAAATTCGACTTGCAGGATTTGGCTGTTTTACTGTCGATGATATTGACCCCTATCGCCCTTTGCAGTAAGTATCGCTTTTAGATTTAGATAGGTCCTCTGTATGGGTTTATACTGACCTTATGCAAATTAAATAAGCACATCGACCCGCTTATATCGAAACACTGATTACTTAACTTTGAAATAGAACAATAAGCATTAATTGCCAATTGGTCTTATATTAACGGTTGGCAATATGGAATGATCATGACCTTGTTCTTGTGTTTACAGTTTCCCACTTGCTAGATTTGGTCGTTTACTTGAACTTGACCAATAATTCGAGCATTAATTATACACACTTGTATAATCAATGCCTTGACTTTAAAGTGTGTTTTTTGGATTTATTTTAAGTAGATGATTTCGATTGGTGGCATTGTAAACCCTCTAAGTCAACATGGGGGGCAACGATCTGCAAAAAACCTTCTTCCCATGGTAATTCCCTATGTAAGGCTTTAGCTCGGGTTTTGGAATATTCACCTGGTATATTATGTTTACAGCCGTACACCGTCAAGGTTGAAGGGCGCAAATAATGAATGCAAATGACGTCAATGTAAAAAGATTGAATTGGTGATACTGTGTTCATTTAATTCCATATCCAGGCTGATTCAAAGATGAGGGTCACCATGGTGATCTCGGGAAATGTAAATAGGTAGGTAGTTTCAATTTGGCAAAGTTAAGTTGCGTATTTTGATGCTCAACAAAATGCAGTTTTGAAACTGAAAAAATTCCATCTACTTTCGGAGATATCCGGAAAAAAAACTGAAATTGTGTAAAATCGTTTTTAATTTTTTACCCAAGTTATTTAAAAAGATATTTCGAAATAAATGACATCATTATGGACACTTTTTTTCCTCTACAAGATGCTAGTTTTAATTTTTAAATCCGACGTTTCGTCTCCGGTTAACCATCATCAACTTTGTTTTTTATGGAAGTAATTTTTACTTTTTGTGTCATTTGATAGAGAATTGTTTTCTGATTTCAAAAAAGCAAACATCACAATTTTGCTAAAATATTGTTAAAATATAGTATTTTTTTGCCTAGAAAACTTTGTCTTGGGTAGTGTACTTATGTAGTTTCTTACGTTTTTACTATTGCTATTTATGATTAAAAGATAGTGATGTTTACATTTTTGAAATCAGAAAAAAATTCTGTCAAACGACACAAAAAGTAAAAATGACTTCCATAAGAAAAAACAAAGTTGATGATGGTTAACCGGACACGAAACGTCAGACTTAAAATTTCAAACTAGCATCTTGTAAAGGGAAAAAATTGACCATAATATTATTTTGCAATGTCTTTTTATAGTATATAAAATAACTAAAAAATAAACACTGTGTTGCAAAATTTCGTTTTTTTCAGGATATTTCCGAAAGTAGTCGAAATTTTTTCTGTTTCAAAACGGCATTTTGTTCACCATCAGTAATCCAGGACGTCACATCTTTACAACTATTTTTTGACCTATATTATGTTCTTACAACGTATTATCTTTGTTATGTTTATTCATTAGTATTATAGTAACACCATTGTTTATTCATGTAACACCGAGTGTAACACATTTGAATAAAAAATCATTCCATGGTAATGTAACACCCTATATATCGATGTATCTTGCTAAAAGTAGGGGAATACCAGACTGTCACACTGCAGGAGTGCTGCACGTATGTATATGCAACATAAACAAAAAAAAATGGATCTTTGAAAATGTTAAAATAAGTAATGGAAATAAGTAAAAATAAAAAATTCAACTTACTGTCTGTGCTGATTCCAGAAGCTTTTCATTGTGTAATTCTCCGGTAAACAGCCCTTCACACTCTCTGTGCTGCTCCATAGTAAAGTTATGCAAATTGTCAAATGTGCGAGCAAGATTAGAAATTTGGCAGGTATCAAAGTGGAAGAATGGTACATAACAATACGTACTACCGTTTGATATCGACACTAATTGGCATTAGGCACTTAGGAAAATTGCAAACGAGTGGCTATTTTTGCAACATTAATTTAAGGTTAAACCTGTTAACACGTGTCGCGTGTGTAGTGAAACTAAAACTGCTTGTTGCCTATTTATTTAGTTCGAATAACATTGATCGAAGTTTCCCCTACAACTTTTTCTAATCGACATTCGCTACGGAAACTACTTGGTTGTCAAAACCAAAAGAAACGATACGTGCTATCTGTATTTGTATATTGATAAGTAAACAGCTGATTGGGGATTAGCAAATCGGGGTGGCACCACTACAAAGTACAAATGTGACGTCATACATTTAAAGAGAGCATGTTCCACGCTTTGCACTACATAAATACGTTTTTCAATAATCAGGCGGTGTCAGGATATTTGCTGTAATTGTAAACATACACCGGTAGGGCGGTAGGTATACAGAGGTGAGAGGAATGAACTACCAATCAAGTGGTTAGTGGAAGTAAAGTATGATTTACACAGGCCCGCTATCGGTCTGATCAGAGAAATGTCAAACTCAAAACAATTGCGAAACGGAAAGTTTTAAAATTCAGGATTCTGTTATTGTGAAATGGAAACGTACTGATACAAATATATAATACCCATACACAAATACGTTTCGTCTTTCTGGAGAAATTCATAGTCTAAGCACAGTCTACTCTAGATAACGGGCCAGGGACGTAGCAACAGGAAGTGCAACTGGTGCGCCGCACCAGGGCCCGGGCGCCGAAGGGGCCCGGCCCGGCGTTTACTTTGTTTAAACTATTTCTATGTTACTGTTACATAATGAATGAAAGGTATAATGTTAGAACAAGAAATTACTAGAAAATGCTGATTTAGCCCGTAGTTGGGGAATTCAACCGCATTTCAAAAATTCACGACTTCGCAGAGTGAAAAAGCAATTCGATGAGCTGTCATCTGACGAACGACTAACAAATTCACAGGAGAACTTCCGTGTTTCTGTGTTTAATCTTACATTGGACCTCATTATTTCACAAATTGAAAATCGATTCAAAGGACTAAATAGCATAGTTGAAAGATTTAAGGTGCTTTTCCCTTCAGTTTTAAAAGATCACTCGGACTCAGATTTAATACAGCTAACTGAAAATTTAATTAACTTTTATCCCAATGATTTATCGAGCTCATTTGCACAAGAACTTTTGTCATTCAGACTGAATCAGACACGTTTATAAAGAACAAATAAACGCAAATATTTCAATTCATGACTTGGCAAAATTGGTTATTTGCGATCCAATGATATCAAGTTCATTTAAGGAAGTGTGTTGTGCTTTTATACTCTACCTGACAATTCCCATATCGGTATCATCTTCGGAAAGATCATTTTCCATCCTAAAATTGATTAAAAATTATTTACGAAGTAAAATGTCACAAAGCAGACTTTCAGCTTTGGCAATATTATCAATTGAAAATGAAACAGCCAGAACATTAGATTTACATAATGTAATTTCTCTGTTTGCTCATCAAAAGGCAAGAAAAGTAGACTTTTTTAGTACTTGTATAATTAAGCTGTCCTATATTGAATTGAATTTATGTTATCATGTTGGTTACCATTGTTCAGCCATACGTTTTTGTGCATTGTTCAATAAACTATTATGCTAGTGATTTTTTTAAATGATGCAGTGGAGCCCGTATGTTTGGTGTTGCACCAGGGCCCGCTCCTAAGTTGTTACGTCCCTGTAACGGGCGATCTCGATCATAAACGGATTGACGTCGCGTCGAGTCGCCTTGGGAAGTTCAAGTTAAATATGATTTCCCATGTAAACAAAAATCCCAAAGGTGATTCGACAGCAACTCTTTTTTGATCGCATACTTAGTACAAATCAACAAATTAGAATATTGTATTTCTTGACAAATTTTTGTTCTGTCCCTCGGAGGGAGACTCAACGTCCCACGATCTATACGTTCAAAGACACAATCGGTAATTGAATAAAATAATGCAGTTAAGACCATCGAGAAAGTAAAGTACTGCGCAAGTCGCAACTAAGAACAAGTCGCCGGAAATAACTATTCCGCATACCCATATCATTGAATGATAGTTATAAATTCAATGCCCATATACAGGGTGTTACACGACCGTTCGAAAAAAAAAAATCGGGTTGTAGAGGGCATCAAAACAAGCACTTTTTCCAAATAAACCGAGGGTCCAACGTGTTTCGTTTGGGAGCCACCCCCCAAAGAGTGTTGAAATCTGCATTTCTTCTTTAATAATATAATAATAATAATAATAATAGTCATTTATTGGCTAACGTACAGAGAAACAATACATAATTCTAGTGAATATTAAACTCATTTTATTATACGTTATACCAAAAGGGCGAAGTTCAGATATGTAGTACAAACTACACTCTGTTCTACCACTTAACCCTTTTAATAATTTATTGTGCTAAGTCAGATAATGGCAAATAATTATTCAACATACAGGGTGATTCCTATAGTACCTGCCACCGTTTGGGAGCGTGTAGGTGGTGCGTAGGGGAGTATTTTGATATAGGACACTTGGGGTCGGAAATCTAAAATAAGGGTGCCAGAGCCAAATTTACCTTCTGGAATTTCGCGCCTGTAGGTAGGCAACCCAACCGGCCGGCGGTGCACACGGAGCGATCTCAGGCGGCGATGTGTGGCTGAGAAAGGATTCTCAAGAGAGGGGACCTTCAATCCTCGTAACAGCCACTACTGGGCGGAGCACAATCCTCATGAAACGTTTACGCGAGGATACCAGGACAAGTTTTCTTTAAACGTTTGGGCTGGCATCCTGGGGACAACCTACTGGGGCCTTACATCCTCCCTCCGCGTCTAAATGCCCATAATTACCTGATTTTCCTGCGCGAGGTGCTACCAGAACTTTTAATGGATGTTCCAGTGAACTTGTACTGGGACCACTGGTTCCAGCACGATGGGTGCCCTGCTCACTACGGGCGGCAGGTGAGGGAACACTTGGACCAAACCTATCCGGACACATGGATCGGCCGTGGAGGTGCGGTGGAGTGGCCTGCCCGCTCGCCCGACATCACCCATTAGATTTTTACTTGTGGGGTGTGATGGAAGCGCACGTCTACGAGACTCCCGTCGAATCCGAAGAGGACTTAATTGCGCGCGTCGTCATGGCCGGAGAGGCTGTTCGCCAGGACATAGGAGTCTTCACGCGAGTTCGAGGGGAGTGGTTGGCTAGATGTAGGAAGTGCATTGAGAACAACGGTGGCCACGTTGAACACTTGTAAACGTTATTGCTTTTGACTGTCGTTTTCCCTCCTTCCCTCCCATGTCGCTTCCTCGCGCTAACTCGCTCCGCGCGAAACGTCGGTCGGTTGGGTTGCCTACATACAGGCGTGAAATTCCAGAAGATAAATTTGGTTCTGGCGCCCTTATTTTGGATTTCCGACCCCAAGTGTCCTATATGAAAAGACTTCCCCTAGGCACCCCCTATACGCTCCCAAACGGTGGCAGGTACTATAGGAATCACCCTGTAGAACCTAGTGAGTGTACTTATCCGAATATGGAAAGAAAAAAAAATGACAGTGATAATATTTTTTTTTTTTAACACAGAATAAAACTGAAAATACCGAAACTGAAAATAAAAAATAAAATTAAACATATTATCTCAAGTGTGTTTGTTGCTGCTCAAGAAGTTTTAATCTAAGGTTTTCTCTGAAGCGTTTTTGGGAACAGGAGTGTAAATGACAGGAAAGGGAGTTGTAGATTTTCGGGACATTGTAGCTAAAAGACCTTTGATAAAGGACAGTTTGATGTTTAGGAATTGATATAAGGTGCTTTGTTCTAGTATTAAGATTATGTAAATTATGTCTAAATTGAATTTTTTCGTACAGATACGGAGGAAATTTATTGGAAATAATTTTATGAATAAAACATGCGTGTTTAGCTTTCTACGATTGGACATATTGAGCCACTTAATTTCGACCAATTTATGCGATATTCTATTGTATTTTCTCAGGCCAAATATTAGCCGAAGACAGGAATTTTTTTCTCAGCAACCATAAGAGTTACAAAGTCGGGTGGCATGTCTTTGAATAGGTTTTTGGGTATGCTCTTTCCGATTTTGCAATTTTTTTTTCAAAATTTCTACCCCTAAAGGGCGCACCCCTAAACTAGGGTGCAAAAAAAATTCTGATTTCGACGAAATTTGGTATCTGGGGTTTTTTTAACATGAAAATCACGAATCTGAAATTAGTTTTTGAAAATTCGAAAAAAAAAGTTCCACTACAATTCTTGGCGGGACAACGAAAATAGAGATAATTCCACGAAATTTGTTGTGTACATACTAAACGAGTTAAGGAACAAAACTGTCGAACAGTTTTTTAAAATAACTTTTCAAACAAAAGTTATACTCATTTGAATGTTGGTCCTTCGGGTCGCGAAGTGTCCCAAGCCTACTAGTAAGCATAATTTCGCATGTGTTGGTTGACAATGTCGCAAAAACAAAAGATTAACGGTTTGAGTCGATATTTTGTTATTTGGAATTAATTCGGTCATTAAATGATTAAAAAATTCGATCTATCGATTAAAACACCTACCAAGGTACATAAAAGCGCTGATTTGTCCTTAAAAGGAGCGTGTTCTTTTGGAAGTTATTTTTCAACCTAAGATTATGAAAATTTTTGATCATAGTGAAAAAGTATCATACGGAAAGTGATTTGACTTTTTCCCCTACCTTATTTAGATAATAAATAATCGATCAGCGCTTTAAGATACCTTGGTAGGTGTTTTAATCGATACATCGAATTTTTTAATCAATTAATGACCGAATTAATTCCAAATAACAAAATATCGACTCAAACCGTTAATCTTTTGTTTTTGCGACATTGTCAACCAACACATGCGAAATTATGGCTTACTAGTAGGCTTGGGACACTTCGCGACCCGAAGGACCAACATTCAAATGAGTATAACTTTTGTTTGAAAAGTTATTTTAAAAAACGGTTCGACAGTTTTGTTCCTTAACTCGTTTAGTATGTACACAACAAATTTCGTGGAATTATCTCTATTTTCGTTGTCCCGCCAAGAATTGCAGTGGAACTTTTTTTTTCGAATTTTCAAAAACTAATTTCAGATTCGTGATTTTCATGTTAAAAAACCCTCAGATACCAAATTTCATCGAAATCAGAAATTTTTTTTGCACCCTAGTTTAGGGGTGCGCCCTTTAGGGGTAGGAATTTTGAAAAAAAAA